AATGTATATGTCTTAGCCAGATTACATAATCCGTCGTTTTATAAAACGTCTAGGCACTTTATAAAGTGCGGTCACATTTCAAATCATGGTTGAAAATGAAATATATTACAATCTGGCTAACAATTTTAGTTTTTTTTATAAAACACTAACAAGCGACCCGCCACATTGTCAAACGCAACGATTTATATATCGTTTTACATCCTGGTTGATTCATTTCAATCATTTTGAACGGCGCGTTTTTACCGACCTTACTTTATGTTATTTGATAAAATAGTCATAATAAATGTGTTTTTTTTTTCTTATATCTGTCTTTTTTATTTGTTTTCAAACATTATTTTCAAGAATTTTATTCATGTTACTTTTATAAAGCCTTAATTGTAATAAATACAACAAGTATTCATACAAGCTTTTTTTTCATTTAGAAATACACGTTACTTATTAATATTATAGCATAATTAATTATTAATTTTCTATAAATGGCTGTTCTACAAAGACAGTTCATAAAATGACTAAAAAGAACCAGCCAGAATCTAAAACAATGTACAAATTGTTGCGTTTGACAATGTGATGGGCCGCTTGTTAGCGTTTTATAAGAAGACTAAAATTCTTAACCAGATTATAAAATATTTCAATTTCAACCATGATTTGAGAATGTGACCGCACTTTATAAAATGCCTAGACGTTTTATAAAACGACGGATTATGTAATCTGGCTACGACATATACATTTCGTAATGCACATGATAATAATATGGTGTCTTAAAACCACCAAATGTACTTTTAATAGCAGTAATACAATAGCAATAGATTTTCTGATCAATTTGAAGGCAATTTTTGGTAAATATTCATGTTAAAATGAATGAGTGAATAGTTACCCGATTTTTTTTTTTTTACAAAAATGTCAAGGCGTCAATAATTTCCAAGTTACAATTTGAAACATTCCGTATCTTCTTATCTCATATATCGAAGTTTAACGAATAATTTCATATATTTACACCCGTGTAATATTATCAATGCATTGACGATGCATCATACTCAATTTGTTAACACAACAAAATATAATAAAATGTTGCTATTTATAGCGTGAGAAACAAACAGTGAGAAATAAAATACCCATCAACTACTTGATTGTTCGTTTGTCATTATTGTTATCTACTTTGTGATGAATAAGATAATTATCATATACTTTTTTTCACACACGTAATACCTAAAGAAATTTCCTGCACAATATGATATGTATTATATTAACTATATAGAATTCTAAATCTATATATTTTATATATATTTTACGTTTATATTAGTAAATAATATACTATATGTGTATAATGCAATACACAATGATATATAAAATACATATTGTATGTACTGCAAACTATGAAAGCAGAGAAAAGGTTACAAAGGCACAAAGACTTTATTCTTATAAGGTGAAAAGTCTAACTCCTGTTAGATTCTTAGAAATTTATCGATAAATTTTTTACTATATAATAAACATTTGTGCACTGTACAAGAAAAGAAAATTTATTGTTCATCGCAATCTCGATAAAAGTGCAATGTAAATTCCAAATAATCGACACCATGTTTGTTTCTGCAAATATTCTGTAATAAAGTAATTAAAGAAATTATTGTAGAGTTCGATATTAAAAACAAGATGTTATTTTCAAGGAGAAGTCTTTAATGTAATAATAATTAAAAAGTAAGGTTCCCTGTTTTATTACGACTTTTATTTACAACTTATGCACAAATTGGATTTATTGTGTTAAAATAGAACTTTTTAATATAGACTTTGAGAAGATTGATACACTCGTCCCACCTTGATACCGAATTTGAAGATTCTCTCGGTAAAAATCCGGCTCTTAATGTTTAAATTATTCTTGAACAGTATTCTGTACTGCTTCATCAAAGAGACAATTCAAAAAATGAGACCTGGACTTTTCCCTAGAGAAATCCAGGCCTCTTTCTTTTGTGAATTTTCCTCACAATAATGCCAGACTTCACTCTGCACATGGAATTCAGGAACTTTTGTAATCATTTGATTGAAATATTATAGAGCATCCTTCTTACAGCCTGACTCTGACTCCTTTCGATTTTCATTTGTTTGAGCCGCTGAAGAAACATCTTGGAGAAAGACGATTTCTATATGATGCAGCTATACAGAATGCTGTTCAAGTATGGGTTAAACATCAATAACCGGATTTTTACCAAAAGGGAATCTTTAAACTTGCCAAGGTGGGTCAAGTGCATCAATCTTCTGAAAGACTATATTGAAAAGCAGTCATTAGCTTAAATTTTAATCTGGGACCTGGACCGATCCAAAACCAGAATCGATACCCGTTCGATAACTGTTTTTTTAATAAAAACGAAACCGTAAACCGTATTGAAATTCTGTTAAATTTATAACACCGGACCATAATCGGACTATTAAATTATTTTCGGTTTATGGTTCTTTTCGATACCTTTTCGGTTCTTGCAATTTATTTCTACAAAACATTTTTATTATATTTTTATATTACTAATTTAAATTTTTTGTAGTTTTCTTGGCTAGGTGTCATCGGAAAATAATAAATCTGATGAAAATAAAATTTTCAAAAAGTCAACGATAAAAAAACTAATAAATAAAAAACAATAAATGCATAAAAATAATTACTTTTAAAATTAAGTTTTTGTATTTTCAAGAAAATAAAAAAATTATTTACATTTGATATTACTTTTTTCTTTATTTTGTAATAAAATATATATAAAAGAAAAAAAGAAATAAATTTAATAAATTCTGCATTTTTATATAAAAAGAACAATATATTTGCTATTAAAAAATAGTATAATTTGTTAGAAAAAAGTTAGAAAAGCAATAATTTTAAAAGTATTGGGACCATACCCGATAAAACCGTAGTTTAAACGGTTTCGGTTTCCTTTATTTATCAAGGAACCGAAACCAAAACTGGAATAGTTATTAATTATTTTATTAAATTGTAATCGGAACCGAATCTTTATTTTGTTTCGGTCCCTGATTTTAATACAATAAGTCTATTGTATCCACAATTTGTGCATAAGTGGTAAATAAAAATCGTAATAAAACAGGAAACTTTACTTTTTGAAATCAAAGTATATAAATGTTGTGAAAAAAACTTAATAAATATTACATTCATATAATTACCTCTTGGGGTTGTATCGTAGGTATTCGAAACTTCAAAGTCTTCCTAAGATAATGAGCGACGTCGAGAGAAAACGACTGATCGCCCGATTGATTATTATTTTCAATGTACTGAGCTTGTTGCGGCACAGTGTAACTCCAGCCGCACATTGTTTCGTCCATATTGGAGTTCGGCGAAAAGAGACACTGTTGCACGATCTGCCAATACCACGGCATGCCGCTAAAAATATTATTAATGCCTTGACAGAAATTCAGTATATCTGTTATTCGTAAGTAAAAGTATACGCACATTCCAAACTTACACAAAATGTAGTGTTAAATGCGTATCCGGCATATGTTTCGACAAAGGTATAAAGCAACTAATATTGTTGGGTGTATCTGGCGATGATGGCGAGCAATATCTTTGATCCAGAGAGGTGTTGAAGTTTTTCGCCACTACGAATAATTGTGGTCTAGGTTCCGGTGGTAATGATCCCGCGGCGTTACTAGCGACTTCTCCCCAATCTGCACCAGTTTCTCGCCTTGCTCGTTTATGTAAATACTTGTAATTAATCTAGAAAATAATGCATATGCATTTATATATTTGTTATAATAAATATATCCAAAAGAGATGATAATTTTAAACAAAATTCTATACCTCTTTCACAAGAGTTTGAGTGCTAGGATTGGATGGACTAATACCATTTTGGAAACCTTTAGCTAATTTCCGTTTCTCTTCATGTGGCATGCTCAATGGTTGTTCTAAATGATCTGCTAAAAAGTAATAGAATAAAAAATAAATCTCTCTATATTAATAGAGATTTACGTCCTCCTCTTCCCCCTTTTTATAATCTTGACCGTAACATATCTTGTCAAAATTATGATTTTGAGTAATCTACAAAAAGTTTTAGCCATTGGTTGTTTATTAAAAATTATTTTTAATATAAGATTCTCTCACATACATGCATGCACGCATGCACGCACGCGCTATCAAGTTTCGAACGTAAACTGACAATGAAAAATTACATATATTGGATGTAATTTATATGGGTATATTATATACAGGGTGAGTTTTTTAAATTGAAACATTTAAATGTCTCGAAAACAACGCATTTCTGAAAAGAAAATTTGAAACAAAAGTAGTTTGGTTTTGGGGGGCAAATATAACAGCATTATTTATTTCTGATTCGGTGGACGTTTTCAAGGTTATTTGAAGATCAACTTAATTTTTTTAAATGGAACCTCCCATTTTTTGTTGCATATTCTTGTAGCCCTTGTCGAGGCGTTTTCAAAACACTATAATAAAGTATTTTTTCATTAAGTATTTTTCGAGTTATTTTATATCTTAATCTGATATATTTTGATATAAAAAATAAAATATCTCGTAAAATATTTAGTTTTTGATAACCAAACCACTTTTGTTTCAAACTTTCTTTTCAGAAATGCGTTGTTTTCGAGACATTTAAATGTCTCAATTTAAAAAACTCACCCTGTATACTAAATCCTATACATATGTATATACTATACATACGCATATATTATATCCTATACATACTATACATACGCATATATTTAAACAAATACACAAACCTTTATACATATAAAACATTTAAAAATATGTTATAATTCGAAAAGTTTTACAATTTCATAAAAATGTATAGCATTTTATTAATATGAAATATGAAAAGAAGAATTTGCAACTTTTCGCGCAAAGTAGATGATCCCACATTGCCCGATGTTTTCAAGTCTAAAAGCACATAATAAAAAAAAAGTTGGGCTTTCAAGTACTAAATGTGGAGTGGACATCGCTTTGCGTGGAAAGTTGGAAACTTATATGATTTATATATAATTATAAACATCGTTTTTTGCACCGAAAGTATCGGACGATGTGGAATTAATGTTATTTTGTATAGAAAGCTGCAAATTTATATAGAGCTCCGTTCACATTCTCGTTTTTTGGTATTTTTAAAGATCTATGTGTTCGTTAAGTGTACATGTGTAGAGTTTGGTTATTATTTAAACCTTTGCAATACAATTGGTTTTATTTTGCTAAAACAAAATATATGGGGTCTATGGGGTCGCTGATTACAAATATAAAGACAAAATTTAAAAATTCAAAATAGAAAATACAATGTAGCAGCCAAGTTAAAAAAAAAAATTAATTGGATTACACTATAAATAGTGTAAGATATTTCTCGAGCAGCAGAAGAAAAATATCCGGGACTCTATCCTACGACCTAGCTCTCAATTGACTAGTACTTTGCCATCGATTATGAGTCACACACTGCTCCATGCAACCGTAATCTCTCTGCTCGGTTATATATTCTTCTTTGAATTTTATAGCGTTTTCGAATGAACGGGTTAATCCAACCCGGGTCAATTAATCGCTATATTTTACTATGAATCCAAGTCTTTTATTGGCAGAGATGATGCAATGATGTCATTAATCGCTCTCAAAGATTAACTGCTACATTCGAAAACGCTATTACAATAGCTGGAATTTCATATGTATGAATTTTCGAGGTTTTTAATTTTACAATTAAAAATTATAAATTAAAAATAACGAATAAATGTGCGTGTCGTAAAGTCTAAAGGGGTTAATATCCATATAAACAGTGTCCAATATTGCATTTTTCATTGTCAGTCCATGTTCGAAGTTTGATTTGTTAATAACCTTTTAATAAATAACAAATGACGGGCAAAAAATTTTTGAAGATTACTCTATCGTAAATCATGAACTTGATAATATACAGGGTATTCCATTTTAACTTTCACACCGTAATATATCGAAAACTATCGAAACTATGCATTTTCAAAAAAAATGTTTTAGACAAAAGTTATTTGACTAGAAAGGGGACATAAGAAGATGCCATTGATTGACCTGGAATAGTCGTTTAAAGGTCACGTAAAGGTCACCTTTAATTTCTTAAATGGAAAACTTCATTTCCCATTACATATTCTTGTAGCGTAGCTCGAGAGTTTTTCAAAATACTATAATTAAGTATTTTTTTATTAAGTATTTTTCGAATTATTTTATATCTTAATCTGATATATTTTGATATAAAAAATAAAATATCTTGTAAAATATTTAGTTTTCGATAATCTTACCATAATAAATACTTAATGGAAAAATACTTTATTATAGTGTTTTAAAAAGCTCTCGAGCTAAGCTACAAGAATATGTAATGGAAAATAGGGGTTTTTATTTAAGAAATTAAAAATGGCCTTCATGTGACTTTAAAATGACTATCCAAGGTCAAACCAATGGCACTTTATTATGTCCCCCTTCAAGTCAAATAATTTTTGTCTGAAACATGTTTTTTGAAAATGTATGGTTTTTGAGATATTACGGTGTGAAAGTTAAAATGGCACATCCTATATATGTTAATGACAAAGTCATTACATGTGTGTGGAGGGGAGGGGAAAGTACATTAATGTAGAGATTTACCGAATAAAGTATGTTATGCATTGTTGGGTTATTCTAATTTATATACGCTTGAAACTTAATATAGAAAACCAGGTATGAAACTTACAAATAGATTTTTTCTCTGGCGGATGATCAGGCTGAGGATCTTCCAACTGATGAATCTCAGCTGTGCAACAATATACCTAAAAGGCAGTGTTTATTCAAATTAATTAATATTATATATATATATATATATATATATATATATACATATATACATATGTATATTTTTGTATATGATAAAATTCTGGTTTTTCGAAAATCGATATATAACAATAAAAATAGATTCAAATTTTGTTGAAATATTACATAATTTTATCGTAAACTATCATTTCAATCAAACCTATAAGTACTTCTGATATAGAAAAGTTATTCATGTTTTTCGGTTTTATATACAGGGTGTATCATAATTCACGCCATCGAGTAGTATGCATGGCTGCACTCAATTTGGTGCATAGTTCACGGACGTATGCCCGCCTAAAAATAGTACTGATTGATCTTTATTTGATAATTCCTTTTTTGTTAAGTATCGCAGAAAAAGATAGTTAAGGATTTTTCGTAATTTATTTTAATTATGTAATTCAGAGCGCAAATTATATCACCTACACATACATGGTGATTCAAAACAACCTGATGTCCTTGAAATATCATATTCATGAGCGAATTCTGAGACGATTTTTCTGTTTACAAAATTTTGTCCGAAGCTTAGTTTTTGAGTTATAATTGAAAATAGTTAGCTACTTACAAGTCCGATACAACGAGCAGGTAGGGACGGCGCAACGCCTCACGAGAAAAAAAAATTAAAATAGATTCCACTTTACAATTTCACAATAAATATTACTGGAACATTACTGTTTTTATTGTAGTACTTTATTATCACTTGCAAATATCAATTTCCGCACAAATTAAAACTACGTATACAACAGTCAGAAAGTAAACGAAATATCCTTCATAAATAATAATAGTAAATTGGTTATATTTATCGTGGGATTTTATGCTTTAATTTGTGAGGAAATTGACATTTGCGAATAATAATAAAGTACTGCAGTAAAAACAGTAATGTTTCCAGTTATATTTATTGCGAAATTGTAAAGTGAGTCTCGTAACGCGTTGCGCAGTTCCTGCCTGCCCGTTGTACCGCACTCATAAGTAGCTAATTATTTTCAATTATAATTTAAAAACTAAGTTTCAAACAAAATTTTGTAAAAGGAAAAATCATCTCAGAATTCGCTAAAGAATATGACATTTCAAGGATATCAGGTTGTTTTGAATCACCCTGTATAATCGTATCATATAACGATTAAATATAAATACGCGATTAAATATTAAATATATATATTATATAAATTTGCTTTTATCTTTACTTACCCGTATATTATAAATATATGATAAAAAACAATATATAATATTGAATAATAAATTTATGATTAAATTTTATATACAGGGTGTTCCAGGAGGAAAGGTCAATATTCTGGGAGGTGATCGTATCGGTCATTTTAAGCAAAAATGTTCATATGAATATATGTCCTATTACCCACGGTTTCCGAGATAGAGCGACTTGAATGTACAGTTGCAAAATTACTGACAAGAAAGAAATACTACGTACTATTTCTAATATTTATTGTTCAAGTGATACATTTTTTACAGATTATAATAAATTTTCAAAAATTCCACCGTTAACATCAATGCATTTTTCAACTGTTGTATGAACATGGCGTGTTGCTCGTCTGAGCAACATCGTGACGTTCCTTTATGCGGGCACTAGCATCCATTATTTGAGCGAGCAGTTCGTCTCGTGTATTCACTTTTCTTCTGTACACTTCACTGTACAGGTTCACGGATGAAGGTTGAAGTGTACAGAAGAAAAGTGAATACACAAGATGTACATTCAAGTCGCTCTATCTCGGAAACCGTGGGTAATAGGACATATATTCATATGAACATTTTTGCTTAAAATGGCCGATACGATCACCTCCCAGAATATTGACCTTTCCTCCTGAAACACCCTGTATAGATATGTATGTGTGTGTATTAATAACTATCGTATATATTATACAGGGTGTTCGGTAAAGATTGTGCCAACGCTCGTGAGCGGGTAGAGCATAGTAAACTGAACAGAAAAGTCCTGTAACATTTTTTTCTATAACACTTAATAAAGGAGTTATTATTGAGTAAAGTCTGGCTAATCAGCGCCGACCTTTAGCCGCGCGCCTGGTAATGTGTGAATGGTCCGTCGCTACGCTGGCGCACACTACTAGGCAGGTGGCTCACCGACGTGCGTCTGGCTAAAAGTCGGCGCTGATTGGCCAGACTTTACTCAATAATAACTCCTTTATGCCGGGATTACGATGAACTTGATGTAACGGGACGCGACGGGACGTGAAGTAACGTCACATGAACTTAACACTTGAGGTACAACTGTTGAATTACAATCGGCATAACGTGTCGTGAAGCACTGCGTGGTTTGACAACTGTGGTGTAGAAGTTCGTTTTTGTTGTCATTCTCGAAATGAATTCTGCTGTGAGGCATTATCAATTAAGCACAGGGGCGGATTTATATAGAAGTTTACGATGTAGTAAGCGTCAAGCCCTCAACGAGAAGGGGGCCCCCAAACAACTACCGAATCGACACTTACGAGAACCATATAGTATCAGACTAGAGATACGTATTATTCTGTATAGTTATAATCAGATGGGTTATCCGCGTCTTCTTTGGTAAGAATTCTCTGTATACAATTTTGATCATTTATTTAACACTCCCAATAACAAGTTGTGAAGCAGAAAGAGAGGTTTCTCTAAATTATCTTTTATAAAAAATAAGTACAGATCTAAAATGAGAGATAAAATTATTTATTAATTCTTTCAGTAGAAAGTGACATCACAAGATCTGTTATTTATGACGAAGCCATCAAAGAATACATAAACGTGAAATGTAAAAAAAAAATTTTTTAACTTTTGTTCTGAAATGCTTTTGTTTTTCACATTTATGTTTTGTTTTATATCTATGCCAGTTATTTTTATTAATTTAATTTGTTTCTGTAAAACGTTAATGTTTCTGTAAACCGTTTATAGTTTTCATGAATATCATTTATTATGAATATATTTTATTTGAATTGTATATTTATTAATGTTTAAATGTTATCATAAACTGTTATCTAGATAGAACAAAAAATTATAATGATGTCAAAATAACGAGAAAACGATAAATTATGATAGAAAAGTTAGTTTTTATAGTAATTTTTTCATCGTTTTTTGACGTCATTGTAATGTTCTATTCTGCCTGGAAAAAGAGCCTCTGAAATAGTATTAGCATCAGGCCCCGAAAAGTTACCATCCGCCTCTGATTAAGCATTATAGAAAAAAATAGTACAGGACTTTTCTGTTCAGTTTACTGTGTTCTACCTGCTCACGAGCGTTGACACAATCTTTACCGGACACCCTGTATTATAAATGATTCAACTTATTTCGATTTTATTGCATTAATGCATATAAATTGTTCATCGATATAAAACATAATTTATTCGAAAGAAGTATATTTATATTTTATATAATATTTTTAGATAATAGGATACACATGTTCTGTTTTTGCTGTCAATCTGCCCATTTAATATGGTAATAACAACTCCTCTATTAAACTTGTAGTCTTTATTCTTGCTGACAACAATTTGTAGCAGGTCTTTCGACATATTTGGCTATTTGAGATTATAATTGCAAATTATACGAGTACCTGACATGGACTTTCGAGCTCAGTAAAGTGTGCGGGACATTCTTCAGGTCTTCCTAAAGGAATCGGACCTTTGTTAGTGGATGAGGAATCTACATCTGAGCTTTGATCGTTTTCATCTACGTTACTAGGAACAGCGCCCGCGCCATTTCTACTGAGCCAGTTTCCAGGAAATTCGCTGAAAATGTATTACGAATATAATAGTTTTAATAAATCTGTATATAATGAGATATTTTCTTTTATAATGAACATAAAAAAAATTTACTGACTTATTTTTTTCAAGCTTAGATTGGGAACCCGGATGGCTTATTGGATACCATGTTATTTCCTGAGAATACAATTGCTGTTTTGTGTGAGGAGGTGGTGTCGTCAGAGAGTTACTTTTGACAGATAATCCTCCATCTAATCCCCTTGTGTAAGATCCATGCTTTGTATACAAAGGAGATAATGTACTATGCAACAATGAATTATATCGGTGCTCGTAATTAGAAGTCGTGGACATTGTCGATGGATGAGCTGGACCAATGGCCAACATTCCATTGCTTGCCATGGTGGACCATTCAATGCTACTACGTTTCTGATATTCCAAGAAATATAAGGTTGCCATTGCAACTAGGCTGAAAATTTTAATATCAATATATTAATTAGAGGATATTTTATAGAAATAAAGTCGAATTAATCCTCGCCGGCAAATTAAATTTCTTATTTAACAATAATGTTTATCTAGATAAAAGTATTTAAAGTATAAAATAACAATATACAACGTATATTGTTATTCAAATATTCTTATTCAAAAGCAGGTAAAATTCTATTAAAATTCTACTAAAAATCTAATATTTACCATGTGGATGACAGTCAGGTAATTTGCCATATCGAGGATTAAAATACTATCATGAATTAAGGAACTAAACAATTACCAAAATGCCATGATGAGAATAAGTATAACAATGATAATTTGAATAAATTTATTGCTGCAGAGAAGTTCTTCCTCTCTTTCGAGCCTTTTTGTCTTTCCGTGCAAAGATGACTTATTATTGATGGAAGATGAATATTTATTTCCCGACATACTGGATACTGTGCTGATGGAGCTCTTTAGACTATCGCCCCGTTTCAATTTTGCTAATCGTTTATTTATTCTCTCTAATTGATCTATTCTCGTTTCTAGACTATCTGTCACCTGTAATAAAGCCGTATATACTTAAATAAAGGATATACATTATATAAATTTATCCATATATTTATGGAGTGTCACACAAAATCATTGGATGTTTCAAGTAGATTTTTTGGGCAATTTAAAGTCGTTTTTTCCTTGACAAAAATGTCGAAGTAGACTATTATTTTTTGCAAATTTTCAATTTTTCCAATTCTTTTAAATATATGTACAAGATGTTTGTTTCACATAAAGTGTTACAAGACGTTTTCCCTGAAACTTGACATTGTACCAAAAATGTTTCAGATAAAATTTATAGAGTTTATAAAAAGAAAAAAGTTAATAATTTTGAATTTTAACTAAAGTCTTTTTTTTAAAGTCATGTGAAGGTAACCCTAGTTTTTTTTTTTAATGGAACTATTCTAATTTTTTATACAAATTGATTCCTCGCAATATTCGGCGTTAAAAATTGTAAGGGTATGATGGCCAAAAATTGAATAGTTTGCGAGATATTTTATACTTTAATTCGACATAATTTTACATAAACTATATGAAATACAAATTTCATAAAATATTCTTTTTTCGATTATCTTGCTTCAATACTTTTATGCACAAAATAAAAAGGGAATTAATTAGTGTAAAAAACATAGTTGTTTTTAAAAAAAATATAATATACTTATATATAATAATTAAAAATATAATATAAATATAATAATTTGCAATAAGCAGCTACAAATTATAACGATTAGCTACGTAAGTTTTAAATTAAGTTTTTAATAGTTTTTAATAGTTTTAAATTAGAATTCTATAGAAGTAAATTCATCTGAAATTAACTATAATATTTGATTAAAAACGTAGTTCTTTAAATCTTTCAACTTATTTTGTGAAAAATCCTTTTTTTTAATCGTGTATAACTCAAATATTATTAAATTATTGCCTTGACATTTTCGCTAAAGAAAAATCGTGTCCAAATTTGTCATTAGAAAATCTGTTATTAAATGGATGACATTCTGATGATTCTGGAGCCATCTGCATATGTATACATAATATCGTATAAAATATTTTTTTTTGAGATCATACCTTACATAATTCCTTGACGGCGCCAACGTTCTCCATAAATATCCTCTCTTTATTTACCACCAAGAAATTTTCTATTCTCTGACCGTTTGGTAGAACGATATCACCTGCCGGCAGCACAGCTTCCGGTAGAATTTGCTGAACCTCTTGCGCTATGACACCAGTGTCTTCTTGTTTCACATCCAGACCCGAATGCTGGGCGAATTCCGGGGCATACCGATAACGAACAACGCGCAGCTGTTGTACGTTTCGTAGTTGTTCACGCGTATCCACTTCTTGAACACTTTGCTTGGCCCTTGCATCGCTAGGTTGAACGATATGACCTGTTACCTATAACAAATTTAATTTTCAATTTAATTCTCGAATGATATTGAATTCCATGCGTAAAAAAACGTGAACAACGAATGTTTATATTATCGTTACAATCAAAACTTTAGAGAGAAAATTGAATAAAAAAATATGAAAAATAAATATATCTATATATATCAAAATCAAGGTTGTTTCGGAGATGTAAATAATTACCACATATATTTGTTTTTATTCGAAGAACAATTTCGGTTATAAATGATATTATTTAAATAACTTTTTATCTCTAAATAAGAATATTCAAATAATATATTCTCGTTATTTATTGTTCATAAATATAACAATTGTTTATATAAATAATAATGATATAAATAAAATTCTTTTACATATTAATTAGAGAGAGATGTCTTATATATTTTCAAAATATATATTACAAAATATATATTACAAAATTGGTAAAGAAACTGAAGAAAACTGAATTGCATATATTAATGCTTGTTTTAATATTTTTATATTTAATGAAAATTGGAATAGTATACCCGTTCCCAATAATATAATCCAAAAGTCGCATACCTTCATATTGCCATGTACAACAAGAGCTTCGTCCGGCCTGTCCGTATTAATTCCAACTCTGCCTGCATGATATACGCTATCCGGGGCGGCTCCTCTCTGCCATCCACCTTCAGCACCTACACCACTGCCTTCTGATTCAAATTGTCCTGGATTACTTGCCTGTAACACGTAAGACGTATGAGAGTCAGTCTACAATTTCTTCACAAAATTATTTTAGACTATTAATTTTACATACCCTGACAATTATACGTTCTGATGCGTGAGCCACTACTTGATAACTGGCTTGATCCGCGGTATGAGCGTGCAATCCGACGACCAAATGAAAATACCTCTGATCTGGATTTGGTTTTCCCTTCTTGCGCATATTGTTACTCGTAGTTTCGCTAAAGTGTAAGCGACCAACCGTCACTTTCGTGACACGTTCGCTGCTTAATTCGACTCTGTAACACCAATATCTATCGTAGCGTAATTCAGCAATATCCAATTACATTACAGAGATCTCTATATACTGCGCTTGTATATAAACTTACGTTACAGGGTGAAAAGGTTTTTTGCTTCTATCGCTCTGACTTTGTTCGACTCTGATCGTTTGCGACGGAGACTCCACTTTGACTCCGTAGAAATGTAATTGGAAACCACTTATCTTTTTTAGACCTTCACCAGTTCTAACGAATATGGCCTCTCCTTGAAGTTGCGAGTGACATGTTATCTAAAAATGTACCGCGTGTAATTAGATATTAAATTTAACAAAGATTTATATATAATATAAATATATAAATATAAATATAAAGAAATGATTTTTTTTCTGGCAAACAAATGCATCATCCGAATTGCTAAAATTAAATCCTTTGTCCGCGTCCACCCTGTAATGTGGTATCGGTAACTCTTTGAGATTGTGATCGCAGAGAACATGCCAAGATGACTGTTGAAAAGGATGGAACCGAATGCATTGATAACTAGCGTCGATATAACTGCTGTCAGTGACCTCATCACTATCCAATACCGCGCTACTGCTACTGCAACTGTGCTCCACGGTACCCGTATTACTTAAAATCTTTCTCGAGAAAAGGTGTGTCGAAAAGTTAACAATGATTACTTTTTAATTAATAAAAAGAGAACTTATTTTTAAATATAATTTATTTTTAAATTAAAACAGTGATACGCATTAGAGATATATGTGATATTTCTTTTTTATAATATAGATCTAGGAATATTATGTTTTAAAAGTTTCTCTCTCTCTCTCCTTTTTTTATTAACGTAGAGAGAGAGCGCAACTTTACTTAATATTTACTTAATATAATCTTAAAATGTGTAAAAAAAGATATAAATATATAATATTTTAAATAATTTAACGTACTTGTTTCACTTTGGCACAAGTTTGAAGATTTTCTCTCGGTAAAAATCTGGCTCTTAATGTTTAAATCATTCTTGAACACTATTTTGTACTGTTGCATCATCAAAAAGGTAATTCGAAGAAAGCGGCTTGGAATTCTCTCTAAAGAAGTCCAGATCTCTTTCTTATAAATTTCTCACGATAATACCGGATTTCATTCTACACATCGAACTCAGAAACTTTTGTAATCATTTGATCATTTGAAACATTATGGACATGAAGCATCCTCCCTAGAGTTCAGATCTGGCTTCTTTTGATTATCATTTGTTTGAGCTACTAAAGAAGCATCTTAGAAGAAGACGATTTTCAGATGGTGCAGCGATACAGAATGCTGTTCAATAATGATTTAAACATTGAGAGCCGGATTTTTACCGAGGGGAAATCTTCAAACTCGTGCCAAGGTGGGACAAGTGCAACAATCTTCTCGAAGAGACTATGTTGAATACTAATCATTAGCTTATATTTTAACACAATAAGTTCAATTTGTGCATAAATAGTAAATAAATTCGTAATGCAACAGGAAATCTTATTTTTTGTATGTGTGTGATTCACTCTAATAATTCTTATGCGAATTCAACTTACGGATGAACATACGACTGTGGATCTTTGTAGCCGCCATTATTGTTAGGTACTGTCGTAGTACCAGAAATGCACGCTATCGAGACTGGATGTGTCATCTGCGGCGAAGGTAATCGCGGTGATGACTGCTGCTGGGCGACGACCGGTTGCGACGTAGGTGCTTCGATCCGGCCATTGTGAGGCGCAGTTCCACCCCCATTTTCATTATGCGCGAGAGTGTCCGCAAAGTATCTAACACAAAATTCAGATTTTTTATCTAATATATCTTCCGATACGTTTGTTTCTTATTTTTTCCTCTATAGCATGCTTGCAAATTATTATTTACTATATTTAAATATTTATATAACGAAGATATAAGTATATACAGGGTGTCCTAGACCACCCGTACACCCCTTTTCTTTCAAAAACTAAGCAGTTTAGAGAAAAACGTTTTGAACAAAAATTGTATGGTTCTGAGGGGAACATAAGATGGTGTCATTGGTTTGACCTTGGATAACATCGTTAAGGTCAAGTCAAGGACACTTTTAATTTCTTAAATAGAATCCCCTATTTTTTATTGCATATTCTTATAGCTTAATGTACGGGTGGTTTAGGACACCCTGTATATACAAGAGGTGTCTTTACTCAAATTTTGTAAAAAATTTTTTTAAGAATTCCTTGACTTTCTAAATATTTTTACTAAAAATTTTAAGTAAAGAGAATATTTTAAAAATTTTTTGGTGCAACTTCCTAAAATAAGTTATTTTATTGTATCCATTTTCTAATGTTTTTCGCTCATACGAAGAAAAAAAAGAAACAACATAGAGCCACTCAAGTTTCAAGTGCTAGATTTGTGCAAATGTACTGAAAAAAATTGAATAACTTTTGTAGATAAATATTTTCTATTTGCATAACATTTTAATTTTTTGGCAATTATTTACTATAACGGACCCAGCTCCAATGACATTGACCTTGACATATGTTGTCAAGGACATAATCCTGAGTAACTTTTCCTTATAACTTAATCGGCAGTCATTGTTTATTAAAAAGTTATTAACAAATAAAGTTTGAGAAATAAAACGTAATTTTTACATGAGTTTGTAATTTCCACGCAAGAAGCAAGGTCCATCCGCATCAGGACGTTGTATAATTTAAATCAAATTTTCAGAAATAGGTTTGGGTTAGATTATATCTTCCGGAGGTGGAGCCCCCCGTAGGTGGGGGGGGGGGGGGCTGAACTCACTGCGTTCACGCATACACTTTCCCATCCACACAACAATTCTGGGCTGAACGTCGCTTCGCATTGTAAAGTATATGCATGGACACAGTGGGTTCCGCACCTCCCCCTATGGGGGGGCTCCACTTCCGGAAGATATAACCTAACTTAAACCTATTTCTGATTTAAAACTAAAATTTGATTCAAGTTACGTTATATAACTCAAACCAAATTTTCGTTTCGAATCTAACTTTAACTTTAAATATCTTAAAAATTATAAGAGACCGCCGATTAAGTTATAAGGAAAAGTTACTCAGGATTATGTCCTTGACAACATATGTCAAAGTCAACATCATTGGAGCTGGGTCTATTATAGTAAATAATTACCATAATTTTTTTATCACTAAAAATTACAATAAAGGATATATATATGTATTGTATATTCAAAATATTTTGTTAAGATATTGGATATATAAACACAGACATATAGATATATATTTAAATATATTTTAAACACATAATTTATACAACTTGACTTATCGGCGAATTGCCTACTGCTTACAATATAAAAGCAAAATGATCAAAGAGAGAATTTTTTTAAATATTCCTCGCAAAAAAATTCCATGAGAATTCCTTGATTGTTCTACGTACAAAAGTAATTCCTAAGAATTCCAGATTTTTCCAGTTTTCCTTGTTTTTCTAGAAACTCTAATATATCTTCTTTAGAGAAGAGAGATGTACAATTATTTGATAAAAACCGTGTATACACCACACGTTGTATACGTGTTATACCAATGCCTTTTTATTGATCTTTCGAGAACTGTGCGTGCCAAGAGCGCAATTGAATTTGCAAAACACGAGATATCGTTATCGTCTGAATCATTCAGTATTCCGCAGAAAATGATGCTTTGACGATTCGCGTTTCGTCCCACAAGTTGAGAAAACTCGCGGGTGTTTCACTGCACGGTATGGGTACTATTATGCAATTTCCGTGTTGAAGACTTGGCTACAATTTATACTTTTGTTCGACGAGAGAGAATTTTCTGCGAATTCTTAATTAGAAAATAATGAAAACATTCGCTTGATAACAATCTCTATCAAATAAAAAGAATCATGTAAAATACCCATTCTTTTTCATTGCATAAGCCAGCCAGTAATTATATTGTCAGTTGGAAATTCTTGATTCTTTAAGTATAAATTATAGCCAACTATATTGTTTTCATTATTATTCTCTCTGTTTCATATTTTTATTTTTTTACTCCGATATCTCCGATATTGCATTATCTTTCTTATTATTCTCCGATTAATGTAACTATGTATAATTAAAAAAATAAGTGAACAGGTTTTTATAGACTCTTCTCTTTTGCCAAACAACCATTTCACATAAAATCATTTCGCATTGCGTCACGACTATAAATTTTCTCTTCTTATCTATCTAACTAATGCTTCTTTAAATAACATATCTGTTGCGTGTTGATCACGATGCATACACGTGTACACATCAAAATATGCGTCTCACACAGAATCGCAAGAATAAGATGTATATCATAAAAAGAGACAAACAGAAATATTAATAAGAAAAATTTTTAAGGTACTTAAAGTTGTAAAAAAATATAACTAGTAAATTTATCCATATATAAAAAATTGAAATAATTATACATATAGATGTAAAAGTATCTAATATTTTGAAGCATAAAAATATGATCAATATAATTTTATGCTGCTGGATAAATTAGATGACATCGCTAAATTTCTTTTTATCGTAACTCGAATTTTACCGTCGCAAGGATCACAAGATTTCCTTTGTCAAAATGCAAGATAAATGCTGAAAATCGGATTATTACCATAACAAAAAAAAAAAATTAATAATATACAGGGTGAGTTTTTTAACATGAAACTGTAAAATATCTCGGAAAGTAAGCTTTATCGAAAAAAATGTTTCAAACAAAAGTTGTAGGGTTCGGAGAGGGCCACATGATAAAAATATGGATTGTTTGTTTAAAAATATAAAAAAAAATTAAAATATATCACAGCAGTCCAGTTAATAAAATATGGGTATTATCAAAACATAATAACCATTCTTGTGATAATCGCCGTAGTGACGGAACAGCCTGAATACATAGAGTCAAGATAGAGCAATTTAGGAATTTAGCCTGATACTTGGTCATGTCATTCGCAGGAAACGCGTGCTCATGCTGTTGGACGTCAAAAGCATATTATCTAAATTTGTTAATTAGCATAACTTGAAAAGGAGCGCCTGGAAATGGCATCGCATGCGGCTGTTTTCGCAGAAATTCTACGCTTCTCATTAGAATTTTTGGAATATTTTGTAACCATATTTATAACTCCATTTTTATAGATTTATCTCTTCGAATTATATGTGTCAGATCGAATACTTTGATACCCGAGATCAGGTTTCTCATCTGATCGAGTCTTTTTTTCAACCGACCCAAGGCGCAACAAGTAGCAAAATAAAAATAAACAATAATAATATCTACAGATATCGAAGATTAATGTTCTTTAGACTCACGTTGCAGGTTGTTCACTGTCACTGTTGATAAAGTCCTCCAACTGCGAAAAATCCAGAGCCTCGTTGTCTATACCCCCGACGAAATCACCACGACCTGAAAAAAAAACAAAGAAATTCTGTATTAAAATGAAAATAAATCGTCATCCATTATCAATCGGCAGGTTTATCCGTTTCAACAATATCCATTTCGGTAAAACTGCATAAAAGGTTATATCTTAACGATTTTATTGCTTACTTAAATATATTGTAGGTTTTCTGAGTAATTCTCCGCAAGAAAAAAGTCGGGGGACGACATTGGTTTAGGAGATATAACAATTTAAAGTTTTACAATTTTAATGCTTTTTTTTTAGGTATTATAAAGTAACATTAGAAACAGTAAAATTTGTATACGTTGTATTTCTTGTAGAGTAGACGTAGAAAAAGTTTTTGTTTATATTTACGGGATAGGTACATGATAAATTAAATGATGGTCATGATAAATTAAAAAGATAAATTAAATGTTTATATTGTACATGTAGCTTATTATTTCTCCTCATTTCTTCTTATTCCAGTAAATAAATAGATCTAAAATGAAAAATATTATTTATTGAATGCGTGCGTGGGGGAGAGGTGGGGCCCCTCTCTCTATACCTTCACCCGAAGAAATTCTAACCTAACCCACCCCAACTTTATTTTTAAAACTGAAAATAGATTTGGGTTCCGAAAACGTCCCGTCTCCGATTTTGATGAAACTTTGTGAAAAGCTTCCTTTCAGGTTCAAATGAAAGATCCTAAAAGGAATTTTGGCGACTCCTACAAGAAAGTCATTTTTTAAGAGAAAATGGGGGTGTAGTTCCGAAAAGTACTCACCCCCGATTTTTTTGAAACTCAGTATTCTTACGTATTTTGATGCGCTGATTACGAATATCATAGTGAAAATTGGCGACTATTTGATTTTCATGGTGAGAACCATGAAAAACCTATAAAAATTATAGTTTTTTACGCTTATCTCAGTAAATACGGAAAATCATGATAAATGTTTTAGACAAAAGTTTTAGATCTCACAGAGATAAACATTTTA